TGTACTGTTGAAGCCTGGCTTGGAGAATTTTGAGCATTACTTTGCTAGCATGTGAGATGAGTGCAATTGTGCTGTAGTTTGAACATTCTTTGGCATTGCCTTTCTTTGTGATTGGAATGAAAACTGATCTCTTCCAGTCCTGTGGCCACTGCTGAATTTTCCAGATTTGCTGGCATATTGATGCAGCACCTTCGCAGCATCATCTTTTCGGATTTTGAATAGCTAAACTGGAATTAGATCATCTCCACTAGCTTTGTTCGTAGTGATGCTTCCTAAGGCCCACTTGACTTCGCGTTCCAGGATGTCTGGCTCTAGGTGAGTGATCATACCATTGTGGTTATTTGGGTCATGAAAATCTTTCTTGTATAGTTTTTCTGTGTTTTCTTGCTACCTCTTCTTGATATCTTCTGCTTCTGCTAGGTCCATACCATTTCTGTCCTTTATCGTGCCCAGCTTTGCATGAAAAGTTCCCTTGGTATCTCTAATTTTCTTGAAGAGGTCTTTAGTCTCTCCCATTTTATTGTTTTCCTCTATTTCTTTTCATTGATCACGGAGGAAGGCTTTCTTATCTCTCCTTGCTATTCTTTGGAACTCTGCATTCAAATGGGTATATCTTTCCTTTTCTCCTTTGCCTTTAGCTTCTCTTCTTTTCACAGTTATTTGTAAGGCCTCCTTAGACAACAATTTTGCCTTTTTGGATTTCTTTTTCTTGGGTATGGTCTTGATCACTGCCTTCTATACAATATCATGAACCCCCATCCATAGTTTTCAGGCACTCTGTCTTACTCCATTATATGTTTTCCACTGAGGGTGTATGGTTGTATAATGTGAACCAGAAAGCATTTTCAATTTCTTATAGTATCTATGAAGGGTGACATTAGAGAGAATTTATTCACTGGATATTTTCATTGAGGCTAGAAGGAAATGCAACAAATCACATCCTACCTCCTGCTCTATTTCTAAACAGTGTTGGAATATTAAGCAGGAAGAAAATACAGTAGCCAGAATGCTACTTTCTTACTGATAGTCATGCAGTTATAGGCCGTGGCTCTAGATCTGTTGCTGGGGATTACTCATGACTCGTGGTAGGCCCCATGTTTAGGCAGAGTTACCCACCTAATGGCAGTCCTGGGCTCGGGCAGGCTTCCTTGAACTTATGTAGGTCTCTGCTGTGCCATGGAGGATCTCTGTAGCTCCCAGCGGAAGGCTGGCAGACCTGAGCCATTTACCCTTACTAAATTTTACCAATCAGATAAGTCTTTCTACCATTTCAGGGGCAGAGACAAAAAGAAGTGGAAAGAGTCCAGACAAGGGGAAAGGCACTCACATCCTCCAGAGACCTTAGACATCTTGTTGTCTTGCCCTCTTATCCTACAGATACAACAGAATTCCATGGAGGGAAAGGACTCTGATAAGCAAGTGTTACAAGGTCATCAGGGAGCAGAGCCAGGAAACTATATATCCTTACCTGGGTCCAGACTCCACCTACTTTGCACTATTTAGTTCTCCTCCAGGAAGAGTGAGCAGTGGGAGTGCTCTTAGACCTGGTGTGCAAGGGCCCTGGTGGGAAGGGAAGGATGGAAGCCATGAAGCCAGGGTGAATGTGCCTTGTGAACAGAGAATAGAGTGACCCCCTCAGCACTTCAGAGCATCAAATATTGGAGTCAACCTTTCTTTCCCCTACTGTCCTCCTCACAGTTCTACCTACGTGGAAGCTGGAAAGACTATTTGAAATGACTCACTCTATTAGGTTTCAAATTGGGAAAAGAGTACGTCAAGGCTGTATACTGTCACCCTGCTTATTTAACTTATTATGCAGAGTACATCATGCAGAATGCCAGGCTAGATGAAGCACAAGCTGGAATCAAGATTGCCAGGAGAAATATCAATAACCTCAGATATGCAGATGACACCACCCTTATGGCAGAAAGTGAAGAAGAACTAAAGAGCCTCTTGATGAAAGTGAAAGAGGAGAATGAAGAAGCTGGCTTAAAACTCAACATTCAAAAAACTAAGATCATGGCATCTGGTCCCATCACTTCATGGCAAAAAGATGGGGAAACAATGGAAACAGTGATAGACTTGGTGATGGACAGGGAAGCCTGACGTGCTGCAGTCTATGGGGTGGTAAAGAGTTGGACCCAACTGGACAACTGAACTGAACTGAACTCTATTAGGATTCCTCAGTGAAACAGAGCCAATAGGATTTGTATATATGTGGGGAAAGTTTTATTGTAAGATACTGGCTCAGGCAACTATGGAGGCAGGCAAGTCCAGCATCTTCAGCTTGGCGACCCAGGAGATCCCATGGTATAGATGAAGTCTGAAGGCATTCCACTGGAGAATTCCTTCTTGCTCAGGTCATCATCGTTGTTGTTCAGTCATTAAGTCATGGCTGACTCTTTGGGACCATACAAACTGCAGCATGCCAGGCTTCCCTGTACTTCACTATTTCCTGGAGTTTTCTTAAACTCATGTCCATTGAGTTGGTGATGCCATCCAACCGTCTCATCCTGTTACCCCCTTCTCCTTCTGCCCTCAATCTTCCCCAACATCAGGGTTTTTCCCAATGAGTTGGCTCTTTGACTCAGGTTGGTGGGTGTTTTTATTCTATTTACACCTTCAGTTGATTGGATAAGATCTGCTGATGTTATGCATGGCAACCTGCTTTATTCAAAGTGCACTGATTTAAATGTTGAAAGTGAAAGTCGCTCAGTCGAGTATGACTCTGCGACATCATGGACTCCGTGGAATTCTCCAGACCAGAATGCTGGAGTGGGTAGCCTTTCTCTTCTCCAGGGGATCTTTCCAACCCAGGGATCGAACTGGGGTCTCCTGCATTGCAGGCGGATTCTTTACCAACTGAGCTATCAGGGAAGCCCTTTAATGAAACATCCATGTAGTATTTATTCAATTATTTCCTTTAAACTAATGTTAAAGTTAACATTAGTTAACTTAAAAAAGTTAGCCGCAGAGCAAAATAATATTCGAGAAAAGGGGTTGTTATACTAGTAATTTCTTTTTTTTTTTAAAGTTGTTTCAAAGTAGTTTATTTAGGGGTTCCATTTTCATTCCTCAATAGATTTTATGTATTTTTCATATGCGTCTTCACTCATTAGTTCATCTAGTTCTGAAGGGTTACTGAATGTCATCTTGATCAGCCAACCATCTTCAATAACAAGACTTGTTGACAAGTCCTGGATTTTCTGCTAGAGCTTTATTAATTTCAGTTACTTCTCCTGATAGAGGGGAATAGAGTTCA